TCTGAGGATGATGGTACAGTTGCTGAGCCAAAAGAGGAAAGCGAGTCGGAGGCTTCATCATCATCATCAGGTTTGTTGTTAATTATGTGTTTTACTCAATTTGGATTAGTGGGTCTGAGTTAGATTGTTGATATTAGTGAAAAGTTGTGGTCTTTATAGAGAAGTGATTTTGGGCAGCCATTCTGATAGTTTATTACTAGCAAATTGTGTTTTATTTTTCATGCCATCATGTATTTAAATTTTTATGATGTTTAGTTATTTGCTTGTTTTCTTGAAAAGCTTTTCTTTTAGAACGTCAACTGGTTTTCCTCTCGATTAGTATGTTGCTGACTGACTGGTTTCTCATGGATCATTGATATGTTGCAGGTTATGAGAGTGAGGATAGCTCTGCAAATGTGATTGATGGTTATTCATCAGGTAGGATTTATTTTTTTCATTTATGGTATTGAGATTTTTTCAAGTAGGAAGGCTATCTGCATATTGGAGGATAATTGTCTTCTATGATTCTTTTTGAGGGATCAAATGACTCATATTTGTTATAATTGGAACTGTCATAGTATTGGTAGCATAGATTAATTATCCATGGCATTTTGAATGATTGTTTCGGGTATGCTTTTTCCACTGTGCCACCCTATGTGCAACTTTTGTCTGTTATTTTGAGCCCTTGTTCAGGTCTAAGATGTTTAGTAGTTGTGGATGGTTACTAACCAATTCATACTGTTTGATTTGTTACGGTAATGGACAACTTAACATCTGCATTCAAAACTGGATTATTATTTTGAGATGTCTGAAGATGATGAAACTGCAGATGACAGAAAAACCCATACTGGCATTGAAACACACAAGAAGCAATCTAATGCCACAGCTGATGAGGAATCATTACCAGATGATATTCCAGATTGTATATTAAAGTGCAAATCAGTTTATAAGTGCAGGATTTGTCCTCGAATTATCTGTTTGACTGAGGAGACTATGAGGGCCCATCTTAGCTCTAAGGTAAGGCATTGCATGTTTCTATTTCACTGTGAAAATGAATTTTGTGCTAACAATTCTATATCACACCATTTGAATCTAATGTTCAAGGAAACAGTACCAGTTGATAAGGTGACTTGTACATGATATAGTTATTCGATCAAATAGATTGTTTTTCTCTTTTCTTTTTGTTCTTTCCAATGTCATTGTAGATGTAATTCACTCTTTTTTCTCCTCCTACCCTTCTTTTTTTGTATTCTCTGTTAGATGAATTATGCAGGCCAGCATAGTAATATCCTTTTCATTTATTATTCTTGTATTATCATTTCGATCTTTTTTCTATTTTTATGAAAAACAGGGTATGGAGTATCCATGTTCAATAGCAGTCATTAATATAAAACATATATTCGCTGTCACTTTTCCATGTGGAACATTGAATATTGTTGGCTGCATCAATGTACTATTTTGTGTGGTTATAAGATGAGAATTTGTTAGTATCTTACCATGACATGGATGACACGAACATAACTCTCCATAACTGCTTTTACTTTCAAATTGATTGGCATGGAATTGAGAGCTTTGAAAGCTGTTACTTAGCTTTAGCCTTACATTAATTGATGAAGTTTTGTTTGTGGTTGTAGAGACATGCTCGATCTGAGAAATTGATGAAGGAAAATAGGCTGAAGGTAATGCTTAACAGTGATGGGGAAATTGAGAACTTGGACGAGGAGACACATGCAGAGAGACATGCTCGAACTGTAGCTCTTGCACAGGTTGCTTCTTCTTGAAACTAAATCAGTAAAATTGGCTTATTGAACATCAGATATCCCTGTGGCTAATCTAGTTTTGACTTATCTTATAGGGTAAATTGACAAAGAAAAATAAAGGGCGGCAGCGGCAAAGAAAGAGATTAAAAAAGAGGGTATAAATTGTCTGTTTGTTTTCTTTCATGTGTATGTTTGAGTTAAGTTATTGTGTGAGGTTGTTTGACTCCTTTACTTCATCTGCAGAAAGAGGGGAATGCTGCAAGCATGGAGAAAACAACATCAAAAACAAAAAGTCCTCCCAAGAAAAGGCTTAAAAATGAGAAGTGAAGAAAGCTTCATTTGTGTTCGCTGCTTTATTTGCAGAGTTACTAACATGCGGCGTTCATGTACTGTGTTCTCTTAAATCTTGGCATGATAAATTCCAGCTGACAATTATTTGTTTCTTTGTCCCCTTCAACTTTATGTTTGTAAGATCTGGAATTGCACCGGGCTTTCTTTTGTTTGGATAGCACTGAAATTTTGCTTAACTCTCTGCTTTTCTGGGAAATTAACCTGGTACTATGTATAACAGTGTATTTGCTCTGATGTCGTTCTTTCAACTCTTCTCCAAGAATCAAAGCCAAGCTGAAAATCATTGTCAAAGTTTAGGCTTCATTTTGAAATCGGTTGCTACCCTGTTGAATCGTGTCTTTGAGCTTTGTTTCACTGATTGGAAGGACCTTTCTAAGTTTTATTTATAGAATCACGCAAATTATATTTGCAGAGAACGCAGATTCTGCTCCTCTCCGTCCCTTTTACTTTTTTTTTTTGGTAATGATTAAAAAAAATGAGAGGGGAAAGGATTCGGGAATAAAAGTAATGATTCTTTCTGTGCTTGTTCCATTCCTTTCCATCTCTTTCTGCCAGAAATTCTTATTTTTTCTTTTTGTCTTTTTCAACGGGAAATGAAGGGATAAATCTAAGAACAAATGAATACAGAAGAACTTCTTTGAGAGAGATTGATTTATTTGATAGTTTTCTCCATTTATTTGATAGTTTTCTCCCGTTTCGTTTGATAATGATGCCCTTCTCCATTATCATCCAACACGCTCATGTTTGAACAATTCTCTGTTGCTTGAGATGTCAATAAAAATCAACCATGATCGAAATAATTTCAAAAAATATTATCAATGCTCTTTCAGTATTTCACTATCGGTGTATAGCCGTGCTACGCCACAAATTTTTTATTATTATTAAAAAATGATGTTTAGATAACATAAATATGTTATTAAAAAAAAGAAGAAAATTTATAACTTGAGTTTAGAGATTAGAATAATTTTATAAAAAAATATATAAAAAATTACAAAGCTGAAAACAAGGTAAGTGAAAATAATAATATAAAAAATAATGTTAATTTGTGTTTAATTTTCAAATATGTAATTCAAGATATTAGATTAAAAGTATTATATCTAAAAAAAATCATGAAACTTAACTTCTAACCTATTAAAAGTTGAAAGATTAACTTGGAAAAAAAAATACCAATTATACAAAAGAATCTAAAATAAAAATTGATAATTAAAAAAATAAAAATCAAAATGAAAATACAAAATAAATTTTATTTTTGATTGAAGAATAAAATTGAAAAGAAAAAATCAATTGAACAAAAGGCAAAAAAACACAAAAAATCTAAAGTCAAAAGATAGGAACCAAAATGAAAAAAAAGAAGACAAATTAGAATTAAATGATGAAATTAAAAATAAATAAAAACTTCTATAAAAAACCAAGAATAAAAATTAAAAATTAAAAATTAAAAAAACAAGAATTGAAGTTGAAATGCTAATAACAAAAAAGTCAAGTTGTAATTTTCAAGGAGAGTAAGAGAATAAAAAAGAAAATAGAAAGACATATTGATTACTAATCAGACCATAATCGTCGACATGTGCCACACTGTCAAGAAGAGAACATCATGACACTTCTAATAATACAACAAAAAGATATTTTTGGATGCAAAGAGGTGGTGTATGTGATGTCTAAGGAGCATAGGTGTCTCCCACACTTCAAAGAGTGCACCACTCATACTCCAACCTCTTTGTATTTTAATTTTTAATTTTTATATTTAATTAATATTAATTTGCCCTAAGCTGGCATGATATTTTTTTTTAAAGCATTTTAGTTTTCACTGTGTTTTTTTTAAAAAAATTCATATGTGATCAAATATTAAATTCTCTATCAACTAAATTGATAACAATGAAAAAAACACTGTGTAAATACAATGTTTTTTTTTTTTAAGGATATTTTAATTGTTTTACTATGTATTTTAAAAAAGTTATTTATCACACTACCAAAAAAAAGATATGATGATACTTTTAACAATACAACGAAAAGATATTTTTTGATGTAAGGAGACGTTGTATGTGCTGTCTAAACCCGCACTTCAAAGAGTGCACCTCTCATGCCCCAAACTTATTATTTTTTATTTTTTAATTTTTATATTTGATCAAATATTAAATTGTTCTAAGTTGACATGATAATTTCTTTTTGGCTTTCGAGATCATTTACTAATTTCATTATGTTTTTTTAAATGTTTTTTATTTGATGAAATATCAAATTCTCCGTCAAATTGATAATAATGAAAATATCATTATGTAAATACAATGTTTTTTTTTCTTTCAAGAATATTTTAATTATTTTATTATGCATTAAAAAAAAACTTATTTATTTCTAATCAATTTGATAATAACTTATACATCTAGTAAAAAATCCTAAATACCTTTGATGGTCAATATTAAATGTTTTGGATGAAGAGGTAGAAGGTGATTTCACTCATAAGCTACATTGAAGATCCTTCATGAGTTAGCTTTTCTAGTAATTTCTTTTTTTAAGAAAGTTCGATTCTAGTATTACTGAAAATGATGTTTTCATTAGCAATACATCAAAACTTTACAGCTTAGGCAAGTGAACAATCTCAAATTTGCACAAACATTAAAGAACAAAATTTGGATCCTTCTCCGACAAATGAAGTTTGATTTAGATTTTGACTGAACCAAACTTAACAGCAAGTTATGTTTTACAAGGATTCTAGGAGCGGCACCCGCTCGTATCTACCTCTGGAGAAAAGTGAAAAAGCAGTGCTTAGAGGGATACAAATCAACCCCCGACTATCATCCAAATTGAAGCATCATTGTTGCGGATCGCAGGGATCATTTTGCTGTTTCATAAATACCTCCCAACACTACAGAAGAGGAAAACACGAACACTGCTCTAAAAAAGGAAAACAAAACATGTCAGAGAAAAGAAACACACTTTGTATATTAGATGTTGAAATCACAAGATCCGAATTGAGATAATAAAATGTTGATGAACCTAAGATGCATCTATTCAAACTATCAGCCTATCACAAACTAAATCCATCCGATTAGGATACAAAATCAGTCACCTCGGCACTACAACTGTATCGATGACAAAAAAAAAAAAGAAGCCAGAAAAACCCAGTATATCAACCATCACTCCTTGCTTTCCAGCTTAAAACAGTTCACATTCCGCACATCAAAATATATGGCAAAAGGCATCACCTAAAATCCTGATGATATGAACCTGAACGAGAAACTTGGGAGGCCAGGAGTTGATGCTGATTGTAATTTAAGGCCCCTCTTTATCTGAAGAATGATGGGGAGAAGCTGGCGGTCGTTCTTCATTTCCATCAGTTTCAGCAGGTTGATCGTTCACAAGAGGTTCCTCTGCACCCTCAGTATTTTCAGGATAAAAATTGATGGGGAACTTTGTAACCCTGGGTTTATCAGATAGGATGTTTCTTTGGACCTTATCAATCAACACTTTAGGTGGAGGTTCCTCTCTAAGCTGCTCATCTTCGTAATCATTGTTCACATAGTAGCCAACTCGAACAAATTCCTGACCTAAATATGAGCACGTCAACAAAAGTACTGTGACACCAATGATATCTTCATCACGAATCTTTGACGGGTCAGGTGGGTCTGCCTGCAAAGCATACATACAGCATGCATGAATCAGAATTTATTCAAAGCAGAAACAGAATAGGAGTCTAATTTAAAGAATCTAAACAAATGTTCAAAGAGAATTGCCTGCAAGACAAAACGATAATTTCCAACATTGACAGGCCCAACAAGCACACTCTCCAATAATTGGTCATATGTTTCATCCTCAGCAGACCCCACATAGATTAGTTTCCATTCCAAATCTGCATCACAACAACAAAATGGAACATTCTTTTATAAGATGAACGAACAACGTTGAAAATCCAAAAGACAGAGTTGGGCTGACAAGGAACAAGATCAATTTAAGTTCCTACACCATGTAGGATATTTGCATTAAAAGATACATAAAAACATAATATACCAGCAAAATTACTTGCAGTCCTGGCAATCAAAGGACATAGAAAATGCTTGTCTTAAAATGCAAGGAATTCCAAACTGTAAAAAAAAGAGAGTATGTAATCCAGATCTGGTAAATAAAAGTATGCCAATCCACAATATTTCATCGGTTTGGGATTTCTTTATCTTTTTTCTTTTTATCATGAAGTCCATTGATGCACTACATGTTTGCCCTGGGAGACATCCTTGCACACCACACAATCTACAGAAAGCTAATCAGAGCCTTGAAGGTTATCTGACTCAAAACAACAATTGCAAAGGCAGGTGTACTCTACAAAAGTGCCACTATAACACAAAAGTAAAGCACCGAGCAATTAATTGAAGCAAGTTGAGAGACCAATCTCTCTAGCATCACTGATGCGCAGGATATTTCAGAAAGAGTCTGAAGTTAATATTACTCACAATGACAAACATAGGCACTAATTTCATGCAATCATGACACAATATCCTGAAAATTCATGACAGGTTAAATAAAAAGCAGAGGCCTGGTTCGTTATCATTCAAAGAATCAAAGAGATGCCAAAATGTTCTAAGATTTGGTTTCTGATCAGGTCCCTACCAACGAAAAGAACAACATTTCTAACGGGTAAGATTACAACAAGAGCATCAGGTTTACACCTGAAATTCCACCAACTAAGAAGACGACAGCAGTAAGTAATTCCCATCAGCATCTAAAAATTGCAGGTCAGATGCACAACAATAATAGGCCCTATCACTAAAACCAAACCATCTTTGATTTCAATTCAAAATTAAAAAAAAAAACACATTTAACCGCGCATACAAACCATTAAAATTATTTAAAGAACAAACTTCTGACACCAGAACCTGAATCCCTAAAAACAGCTTTTAAACAAAAAAAGCAAACTCAATGGGCTAGAAAAACCACCTTCTTAAGGATTTAAATAAAAACCCATATCACATTTTTGGTTCAGAATCCATAGAAACAATTTTGTTTCTCAACAACTCAAACTTTAATTAATAAAAAGAAAAAAGCAAAAGCACTACAGATTCGAACACAGTGAGAAAGGTACCGTCTTTAAGAGGAGTCAAACACTCATAAGAGATCTCGAACTGAAACGGGGACAAAAACGGCGCCGGATTATCTAGTACGGTAACGTTAGTAAGATTCACTGCACTCATTATCCACCGTCTTTCTATCAAATCAAATCAAAACAAAACACAAAAACCCTAAGGTTCTAAAACCTTCATCTAAAACCCAAAACAGAAGAAAACCTAATCCCAAAATCGAGAGTGATTACAGGGTTACTTGGAATTGAATCTTGTTTTAGGGTTTTTGTTATTAATGTTTTGGAATGGCGGGAGAATTGAAATGAGGGAGCGGGAATTGATTTGGGAGGGAGCCTCAGGATATTACTAGGGCCGAGCTGGAAATGCTCGAGTTATCAAGGATGCTTAGAAAATGAACATATTTTAAAAAAAGCAATAAAAACCTGATGCTTGAATTATAAACTTGATTGAATTTAATAAGATTGGGTAATATAATAAATTGATTTAAATCATAGATAATGATAGTAAATAAATCTTATAAAAAATATTTCACAGTAATTAAATAAAATTGATGAATTGTTGATATAATATTTAGAAAAAATAAAATAAAAGATCAATAAAGACTCCGTTCTCGTTTCACTATGGACACTACTTATCATCAAAAGAACTGTTGAAGAGGTTCAAATTTCACTATAAAAAACTGCATAACGATAAAAAAAAAAAACCTCATGGGTTGCTAGGGCAACGCTCCCTAAAAAGAAAAAGAAAAGAACACAAGAATGATTACTTATTTATATTCAATCAATTAATTTTATTTATTTTAAAAATAAAATTAATTTTAAAAAATAAATATAATAAATAATTTTTTTTTAAAATAATCCAATTAAATAAAAAAACAAATGATGCCAAAAGTTTGAAAACAAGTAGAACTCAACCTTCATTTAAATAAATGTTGACAGTAAAAATTGAAAACACATCAACTTAAAAAATAATAAATAAAACAAAATAATAAAAAGTTATGTTAATTTTAAAAATTTATAATATATAAAATTCTAAAATCGAGTTTCATTAAAAAGGTTAAATTCAAATAATTTAAGTATTTAATGATGAAATCGGTTAAGAAATATAAATTTAAAAATTTCTTAATGAAAAAAAATAAAAGAATGAGGATGAAATTTAATAAGAAAAAAATAATAGAAAATGAAATTGAAAAATAAATTTAATTTTATAAATAATTTCAGATTTTATAAATAAAAATTAAAAAATTAAAAACTAAATTTGAGTGAAAAACTAAATGAGGATTGTAGATACCCGGTTTTATCAAAGAAAAAACTCGAGATAATACCCATTTACCTAACATTTGTTTTTATTTCTGACTTAAAATAACTCCAGTGATAAAAACAAAATGCATACATAACATCCCCTTTTGTGTAATCTAAAAGTTTACGAACTAATTTGCAAATAATAATAATAATTAAGCTAGCTGCAAACTGCTTCTTGTTTCACACAAGAACCAGTTTATGTCGCAAATTGGGGGCTGGGAAAGCTTAAAAAAAATGCTTCGCTCTAAGCTGGTTTTTGGTTCAGAAAAAAATTGAGGGAACCCAAGACTCAATGTTGTTGTGATTTCAATGGAGACCTGAACCACAAGAATAATTGTGATATGATTTTATTTATTTAATTCTTGTTATTCTTTTGTTTATCTTTCCTTATATTGTCGTCCTTTAAATTTAATGTTTAGCATATTATTAATTAGTAGTTTTAACATTGACAAATAATTTTACAATAACTAAACGGAATTTCAGAAGATCTGCAATATGATTTTTTAAAATTATTTCTGTTATGAAATTTTTTTAGAAGATCTGCAATATGATTTTTTAAAATAATTTCTGTTATGAAAAGATAATTTTAGAAACTCACTGGATGCATTGAGAGATTTCACTTCAATGTTGAAGATTAATAACAAAAAATAATAACAAATATCTTTAGTTAATAACTTTAGCACTTATGAATAATTTTTCAATAAAAATCATAGGAAAATGGCATTTTACAAAATGATTTTTCAAACTAATTTTCGAGGTGTGAAATAATTTTAGGATCCCACCAAACAAGCTGTAAATCTTAATAAAAAGTATTTATCTAAATATATTGAAATAATAATGAATATTTTTAATTAATAACTTAAATATTTATAAATGTTTTTTGTTTTGTTGTAAGGATTACCTGATGATAGAATTTTAGGAAGTTTGCGAGATAATTTTCTAAAATAATTCCTAGGGTGAGAAAATAATTTTAGTATCCCACGAAATATGTTGAGAGGTCTTAATAAAAAATTCATATTGGAGAACAATAAAATATATAACACTAATGGTAATAATTATAACTAAAGTGAGATGAGTTTTCGGATTCTACCGAATGTTTTGGGAAATTTCAAAAACCCTAAAAAAAGTTGATGAATAAGACAATGTATCCCACATGCTCCTACCAAGACTGTTGAGAGTCCTAAAAAATATCCGACAACAATTGAAAACAATAGCATAAAGAAAAACTTTAAGATTTTGGAAAGCAATTAATAGAAATCAATTAGCTACGTGACTCACTCCATCAATATTTTTATTTTTTATAAAACATTATATATATATATATATATATATGTTTTCAATACATTTTTATAATTCAAAAAATATAATAAATCAAAAAGTTTTACACACATATAATCAGATAAACTAAAAGCTAATAAAAAACAAAAAAACATTTAATCTTAAAAAATAAGACATTAAATTGATCGAATAAAATACAAAGAAAAAAGGAATAACATGTAAAGCTATATATATTAAATATATCTTCTAAAAATAAATATTTTTTTATTTTAAAAAACATAGCTTATCTATATAATAGATAAAAATAAAATCATAAATGAACCAGCAAAACTTTACTAAAAATTAAACACATAACAAAAAAAAATCACTAATATTTAAAAAAGGCCCTCTGAACAAAATAAAAGAGATGAGGTTTTATCTATGTTATTAATTTTAGTTTTTTAACTGGTCACGTCACGTCACGTCATTTATCTCTTTTTAATTATTTTCTTTAAAGTTATATTTTTCAAGATAATTATATTAGACTCATGTGTTTTAGGTCAAGAAAACCATGTCAAACCCAAGATACCTAGGTTTGGAATGGCTCAGACCCAAGATGCCTGGGTTTGGCAGCCATGTCAGACTAAAGGTAATGGGTCAAGCATGGGTGTCAAACCTAAGGTAGTTGATTAGACACCAATACCAAACCCAATATGCTTGGGTTCGGTATCCCAAAGCGATTGGATCTGGCATGCAGCAACAAAAGACACATTATCTACTAATGCAGATTACGTATCGCCTGTTTAGTGGCTAGAAAATCAGAGTCTATGTTTTTTTTTACCTAAAAAACCTATAAAACACCATATAAATCATGACAAATCTATTTATAGCCTCCAAAAACCACTTTAAAAATAGAACTCAACTTGAAATAAAAAATCAACCTAAGCTCAGATCTGTTCTTTCATGAACTTTTAAGGTACACAAACACCTAATATAAACTTTTTACATCAAATGAAACAATTTGACATAAAATCTCTTATTTTGGTTGCCTAAATCAGTGCTAACAACAAGTTTTTATCTCTATCACTGGAATCCAGCGACCCTCTTTTCTCTTCTCTCTTAACCAAGGATAAAAAAAATAACAAAAATAAACCTCTACATCAAAAAGGAATTGGAACAATTTCGAGGGACCACAATTGTATAATTTATGTGATTGTTTAAGTTGAAGAAGCAAAGTAAATGTTTTTGAAACTTATAGTAATGTTTGTCGTGTTTTCCATTTCATTCCCCCATTTTCCAATCACATCCTTACGTAAGAATTTGAGATCAATTGCTTCTTAAATAAGACTTGATCACCTAAAAAAAATCATTAATGACACCTAATACCTAAACTTGAAAAATCAAGATATGGAAGTAGATTAAGATATTTAATTTTAAAAAATAAAACATTAAATTGATTAAAAAAATAAAAAAAATAATATGTAAAGCTACACATTAAAAATATTATCTAAAAATAATTTTTTATTTTAAAAATATATAGTTTATCTATATAAAAGATTAAAAAAAAATCATAGATGAACAAAAAAACTTCTTTGAAAATTAAACATATAACAAATAAATCAATATTATTTAAAAGAGGCCCTTTGAACAAAATAAAAAGAAAAGAGGTTTTGTCCTTTTTTTTGTTATTAGTTTTTTAACCAGTCATGTCACTTTATCTTCTTTCAATTGCATTTTATATAGTTATATTTTTATGGTAATCATGTCAGACCCAAGGCATATGGGTCTGACAGCTACGCTACACCTAGGTAATGGGTCATGCTTTCATGTTAGACATGTCAAGTATCGAGACGGATGATATATTGCCTGTTTTACTCTTATCCAACCACTATAGTGGCTAAAAAATCAGGTTTTACGCTCTTTTAACCCAAAAATCTCTTTTGCAACCTGTTTTTGATCCAAAACACATATAAAACACTCTAAAAACCATGACAAACCTATTTATGACCTCAAAAAATTAAACTCAACTAAGCTCAGATCTTTTTTTACAAACTTTTAAGATGCAAAAACACATAATATGAACTTCTCGCATTAAATAGAATAATTTGATATAAAAATCCCTCATTTTGGTGGTCTAAATCGGTGCCAATTGTAAGTTTCCCTCTCTACTGTCTTGATCTAGTTACATCTCTTTTCTCTTTCAACCAGGAATCAAAACATATAAAAATAAATCTCTGTATCAAAATGAAACTGGAACAACTTTGAGGGATCACAATTGTATGATTTTCGTGATTGTTTAAGTTAAACGACTAATGTGAATGTTTTTGAAACTTATAGTGCGTCACTTGTGTTTGTCTCCTTTTCATTTCGGTCCCCTATCTTTCAATCCCACCCTTTCATAAGAATTTGAAATCAATTACTCCTTAAATAATATTTAATTGTCCAAAAACAAAGTTTAAGGATTAAATTGAAATTTTTTTTTTGCACAGTGACAAATGTATAATGAAAATCCCACGAGTTTTAGTATATATGTAATAAAAGCCAATTTGTTTTTATTATAGGTAACTATTCTTTGGAACAATGTTTTTGGAGTATCAACACCTTTCCCGAACACAAATCAACTCTCGTACCCTAATTTTATTAAGGGTAATTGTTCTTTGGAATGAGTGTCATGTAGATCAAAGTTTGTTGATTATAATAAAACTTGATTATTTATTAAAATCAATATAAATTAATTAGGCGGCCAATCATTCCTTGAAAATAAATGATTGGCGGAGACTCCCTGTTCTCTTCACTTTTTCCTCGCCTAAAATGGTTCCTTCTACCCTGCG